GGAGTAGAAATAAATCCTTGCATCCACCTGGTGAGCCTCTGCTTGTAGACAGTGACAGCCTTATTGTGAGTGGGACAGTAAACGCTTCCGGTCCTTGGCCATGCTTGTTTCTAAGACAATGGGACACAGGTATGTACCAGCATGTGATGTGGCAGTGCTTGAAACCTCCTTGACCTCCCGGGTGTGGCTTATGTCTGGTAGTATAAGCATGACTTGGTGTCATCCTGTCATCTATGGTTGAAGAGGCATAGTCACAGGGACAGGAACAAGGACCCCATCAGCAACAGCCAACCTGATATCAAAAATAAATGTAGATTCTAGCAAAGACTCTGGCCCCCATAAAACAATTCCATTTATTTATGTTACTTTTTTATGTACTTTGTGCAGGGTCTCACTACACAACTGGGACACATAGTGATTCTCCTGTTCTTCAGCCTCCCCAGTGCTGGGATTACAGGGTGTGCCACCACACCCAGACTCAGTGGCCAGCTCAGTGTGCCTTGGGATGGTGCTGGCACAGCATGTGGCATGGGGGGTTAAACCCAGTCCATGTGCTTGCCTAAGCAGGTACTTAGTCCACTGAGCTATCTCACTGGCTTTACAATGCCATTTATTAATTATGTGCTAGTTTCCTAGTTATTAAATCTCTATTGGTCCATCTGTAGAATTGTTGCCACTAATATTTAAACATACAGAGAAATTGTGGCAATGGAGAAAAAAATGAATTTCTACATGTAAAACTGAAGGACAGCATTTGATTCAAGCAAGTGGTGAAAAATTATTCACCATTATTTGCATTAAAGGCAAGTTCTGGAAAGATAAAGGTGCAGAGCCTACTAGAACCAGAAAACATTCAGAATCATGTTAAGTTCAGGAGTTTAAAGTTTTCTCAAAGCAAACCCTTTGAGTGTTCATGGATGTGTCTCTGAATATTTTGGCACCATAAAATTATTTTGTATTAAATATTTAATTTAAAATGTACAGTCCTTCGATACTTCTAATTAATCTGCAAATCAACATGACATAAATATTAAACCAATACATACGTTCTCCTCAAAAAGCAGATGAAAGGGAACACTTTTCAGCAAAGGGAAAAGCAAAAAGTCAGAGGAATATAACATTAGACGATACTCTCTGCTGGGCAGAATAATGAAGCGGGACAGACACAAGCAAGTCCTGTGTAATGTAGGAACAGAAAGGGCAGGGGCAAGGCGGGAAGGAAAAGAGAAAGGAGGGGGGAACTCTTCAGTTCTGGGGCTGAAGTGATGAGGCCAGGTCATGGGAGCTTGGACAGCGTTTTTTTTTTATTTTTAAATTAATTTTATTGAGAAATAGCAATGAGACAGTTTCAAAATCGATTAGTAAGACAGTTATACATTGCATATTGCTGTTTTCATAGTGGTTATTCATAGTACAAGATGCAGACATGATATCCTGTCCAAACACTATTAGTATAAATCTTTCTTTTCATTGAATTAAGGAAAGTAGCTGTATATCTATCCTAACTATTTTGTATATACAGATACAAAATGGTCATTCATTTGTATCCCCTTTTTTGTTTAGTTTTGTCAGAGAAGGGTATTCCATTGTCATTTAAATATTGTAGGTGTGTGAATTCAGCAAAGTAATCCAATATAGTCCAGTAGTCCACAATAGAAGTGAGTTATACATAGGACTGGCAATGTCATTTGTTGGCTTGAGCCTTTTACAGCTCAGCATATTAATATGGCTTTGCTTTTTGTACCTCGTTTTTATACTTTTCTGCTGGATGGTTAAGAACAAGATAGAGCAAGACCTTTATAACAAGAAATGTAACTTTTGTATCTGCCAAGGTCAGTCAAATCCCCTCAGGATTTACCCTGAAACCCTGTACCACAGTTTGTAGGTCCCCTGTCAGTGTCAGCCATGTGGATGAGGTTGGACATCGTTCTAAGGACTTCTGCACCCCAGAGACCACTGAGAAGTCAGCGCAGTGGTCAGAATAGAAGAATCTCAAATGAAGCTGACTTTGAAGAGACTCATTCTGGATGCCAGCTTCACAGACTCACAGGGGAAAGGGGAAAGGGGAGCAGCGAGGAAAACATCAGCCAAAGGCAGTGGCTTTGTCCAGGCTAGGCATGACGGAGGGGAAGACATGGGCAGCTCCTGGGCAGGCGATGAGTGTGCAAGATGCTGCTGAGTGACCAGAGCATAAAAGCTGAGGTGAATCTGCTGGGACAGGCAGGGGTCTCTGCTGGCTGATGCAGCCATGTCCTGCAGCAGCGAGAGGGAAAATGAAGGAGGAGAGTGAAGAATCCTCAGGAATTTACTTGCTTTCCTGTGACATCCTCTATGCACCTTGTCAGTAGTCATCAAGGAACTCTTGACTCTGTGTGTGTGTGTGTGTGTGTGTGTGTGCGCGTGCGTGTGTGTCATCCATTTGCCGAGCCATGGCCAGGACACAATGCTCACACTCCTCCATCAGAGTAGTGGGAGAGACGGCGATAGGGCAGGGAGTTGGTTCTGGGGTCACTGCAAACAGTCAGAAGCTGGGAAGAAAATGCTAAATGTTAAGGGGTGAACAAGTGCAATGCATTTGTTATGCTGACCTGGAAGCCAGAAACCATGGAAGCCTCAAAGAGGAAGAAGTGATGAACTGTGGCACTGGCTGCAGATGGGCCACTTCCGAGGGCTCAAGTCCAACTGTAAGCTGCAACCTCATGAGCACGTCAGCCCCTAGGAGAATATCGTTCAAAAAAGCGTGAGTGCAACAGCCTTATGCTAGCCATAGAGAAAAACTGACTACAAATGATATTAATAAATACCACAATTGACCACTCAGTAGAAACATTATTTTATTTGAATGTAAGAGGACAAATATGCAAGTTACAACTGTATTCGTGATGATTTTTTTTCTTTAATTACACAATGATTTGGGTCAATGAAAGTTAGCGTATATAGAATGGCCCTTAAAAGGCAGCACCTGTGTAGAGGTTAGCTACATTCCTGCGCATACATTTATGTTCTTGTGGAGGGAGTCAGGGATCTAGAAACCTGCCTAGACAATGCTCTGCCACTGAGCTGCACCCCAAGCCCTCCATCCATTTCAACAGAATGCTTATATTTCTGTCCGGAGAAAATTCAAAAGTGTGCAACATTTCTGAGCTATCAAGTAATGTATAATCGCCACATTTCATGACATGAATGTTTCTGGGGAATTTTTATATAGCAAATATCTTTAATAATTATAAAAAATAACAAAAGTTAAAATAGCACAACGCTTCTAGTAATACATTAACATATCAATCACTTTTAATCTTCGAACACCCAGTTCTCCTCTCTTGGAATGCCTGTAACAAGAAACATTACTAAATTTTCTCTCTTCAGGTGCTTGTTCCTTGAATTTTACTAGGTAACATATATGGATTTCATGCAAAAATTTTAAAATTGCAATTGGGATAAATGGCTTAAAACTGGCTCATAATTGACTACTGTAGAATGTTTACTGTGCAATGTGTGTAACACACTATATTTCCCTTCTGTGTAATTTCAAGTCATCTGATTTGCCTCTCCATACATTTTCCCAAAATGTTCTATTCTTACTTTTTTACATAGAAAAATTTTTGATGTTTATGATTATATACAGTATTGACATACAAGTATATAAAGGCTAGTTAATGTTCTTCTATATGGAAGTATTGCAAAAAATTGTGATTTATTAACAAATATTGACAATAAGTAAAATTGAGGTTGTCAGCTACAAACAACAGATATTCTAAACCTAAAAGTCATATATTTAGCAATGTGATTTTGATATTGAGAAATATTAAAAGCATAAGAAGGTAAGATCGCTAAGTGCGTAATTTTCTTTATTGAACTATTGGGGAAAAGAACTTACAAAATTAAGACTTTTACTGCTGAATATGAATGACTTTGACCACTTTGACCCTGTAAAGTAAACCATAGTGTAAAATAAGCCCATGGTTTTGCATGTTAGACTTGTATAGGAATACAGAATACAATGTAACATATCTAACATATTTACTCATTTTCTGCACAGTGATTGAAGCAGATCATTTTCTCTTCTGCAAAGTGAAATCTGGTAGAGCTATGGAGAGGGGCAACCACACGGTGACTGAGTTCATCCTGTTGGGCTTCACATCGGACCCTGGGATGCAGCTGGTCCTCTTTGTGCTATTTCTTGCAATGTATTTTATGACTGAGGTGGGGAACACCTCCCTCATGGTGCTCATCTGTAACGACGCCCGGCTCCACACACCCATGTATTTCTTCATTGGAAATCTCTCTTTCCTGGATCTCTGGCTCTCCTCGGTCTACACCCCAAAGATCCTAGTGACCTGCATCGCCAAAGACAAAAGTATCTCCTTTGCAGGCTGTGCAGCCCAGTTCTTCTTCTCCGCTGGGCTGGGCTACACCGAGTGCTACCTGCTGGCCGCCATGGCCTACGACCGCTACGTGGCCATCTCCAAGCCCCTGCTGTACGCCCAGGCCATGCCCATGAAGCTCTGTGCATTTTTGGTAGCAGCCTGCTATCTTGGAGGCTTTACTAACTCTTCCATCATCACCAAGAAGACTTTCTCTTTCGACTTCTGCAAAGACAATGTCATCGACGACTTCTTCTGTGACCTGCTTCCCCTGGCCAACTTGGCCTGCGGCAGGAAGGAGGGCACCCAGGCTCTGATGTACTTCCTGCTGACGTCCAACGTCATCACGCCCCTCGCCCTCATCCTGGCCTCCTACCTCTTCATCATCGCCACCATCCTGAAGATCCGCTCCGCCCAGGGCCGCCTCAAGGCCTTCTCCACATGCTCCTCCCACCTGGCCTCTGTCACCCTGTACTACGGCTCCATCCTCTACATCTATGCTCGCCCTGGATCTATCTATTCTAGAGACAATCTTGTTTCCATCTTTTACACAGTGGTGTTTCCCATGCTGAACCCTGTGATCTACAGCTTAAGAAATAAAGATGTGAAACAGGCTCTGCACAAACTCATCCATAAATCAAGCTGAAGTCCTTCTATGAAGAAAGAAAGAAATTTATTTACCTTATTCCAAGCCAATATCTCACTGTGCTCCATCCTCATTAATCATTGTTTTACTGCAAATTTAAAAGTCCTTATCCTTATCTCTAGACACTTTACCATGCCTATGCTAAAAAAAAAAAGTAAGACAAATGAATTAATATTTTAACATAAAATATAAATACTTGGGTAGGACTTAGGAAAAGAAAAAAGTATTCCAACTTCATATAATGATGGAAAAGCAGTAGATTTAGTTGACTGCTATGTACAGAATAGTTTCTGTGTAGCTTTTCCTGAGAAATAGGAAATATGACAGGCAGGCAGCTTCATACTGTAGTGGGACTTTTGGGGAGCTGAGGCAGGAGAATGGCAGATGGAAGCCCAGACTGAGCTGCACAGTGAGATGTGGGTCAGAAAGAAAATGAATTCATCAGTGTCTACTTGAAAATTTTTCAAACTTGTTTTTTTAAACCACAATCATTATTACAAAGATTCAGTGGCCCCCAAGAGATAATTTGGAGCAAATTATTCTCAGCAGGCTTGATCTTTTTTAATCTATAAATTCCTTCATAAATTCTTTCCTCTCAGGAAGTCACTTACTCTCATAGATACAATTTCTGTGACTTGTCTTCTAATTTCCTGCCCTCCTCCTTTTGCATTCAAGAATAAACTTGGAAAGAATTCTATATTCAAGATGTAATATTCTGGGTATTAGAACGCAAATTTTATGGGTAACATAATAATGATGTTAGCACAAACCAACTTAAAGAGTAAAAACTGCAAAATGTACACTACTCAGGAGAGAAAACTTTACAGAAAAAGTAGTAAAATAGTGAAAAATATAAATAGATGATGCATTTAAGTTTTATTCAATTTTCTTAAAAATATTAATACAATATTCATTTACAAAGCAGAAATGCATTAATGTTTGCAATTGTATATTCATTAATGAAAGAAAGTATACGAGAATGTGGGGCAGGGGAGTAGAACTACACCACACTGCTTCTCTCTACAGCTGGAGAAACTTGTACACACTGTTGGTCACACATGTCCATCTTGGGCTTGGGACAAAGGACACAGTCAATAGTAGTTATAGCACGTGGTGGCCTAATAAAAGAAAGGATCAACACAATAATCCAAAATGCTTAACTTGGAGTTTTGCTAACTCAGGATCAAGATATCAAGACAATACCTTCTACGTCCTATTAGAAATGACAAAATTTCTGTAAAATATAGTCTCTTAAGTAATGTCAACTGGTCCCAAAGGTTCATTGCCAGGGCAGAATGCCAGTTAATATGTGTAACAAATGTTGTGTGTCTTTAATACAAAAAAGACACACAACTAAAGGATGCACCAACTACTGGCCAGGGTCCATGTTTTAATAATTTTAGAATCAATTTTCTTACTCAAATTAAAAATCAGCATGTATAAAACAAACATGTATACAAACATTGTAGCTTCTGATGACCTATAAGTATGTTCATTTTATTTTAGAAGCAATATGTTAAGGAAGAATCTTGGATGAATATCACTATCAAGACCAAGTGAAAAAATGAAGTTCAGCTCATAGTAAACCTAAAGAAATATAAAAGTAAATAAAAACATATTTCATATGGTAAATGTAATTCATCCTGTTGTGCTGTTGTTCTAAAGTATGTTTAACTGAACTTTTAGCAGTAAGACTTTATTCACTGTAGAGAATGTTTTGTTTCAATTCGTATCTTTGTAGTACTCAGTTTTCCACATTAATTTGAAATTATGCTATAGATTCCTAAGGGAATTCTCTTCCTCAATTTTCTTCCTTCATTTGTGGGATTTTCTTCCTCAACTACAGTTTATATTTTTAAAATGTTTTCCAATTTGATCCTTTTAAACAAACAAGTCTTAATAAAAATTACAAATACTTATAAGGTAGACTCTTTTATGCAAAAAAGTTTTCTGTCTCATATTTGCTCTACTTAAAAACAATTAAATAATTCTTGTACCTGAGTCACAGATTCTATAGAATGTGGAGGTGAATATAACACACATGTCAACTGACAGTCCAAAATCAGAGCATTCTTCATAAGATTCAGACCCTCAAGAGCTGAAGCTGCAGTTCCCAGCAGGCAGCATGGACCTTGGGAGCGCCCACAGTATAAACAGCGATGAAAGCCAGGGAGCCAAAGCGCTCTTCTTTACTCTGGGAAGCCGATTCTCTTGTTTAACCTTCCCAGGATGAATTATTTCCTCTGACTCTTGTTTAACATTGAGCAAAGAGTTCCTTAAAGTTTGGTAGCAGATGTTTTGTGAGTTTCACATAATGAATGCAAGTGATTAAAACCCTGCAAGAGCCAAGCTGTCATCACCATGTAGGCCTCCCTTGGCCTTTTTGAAATTATCAGGCATCTTCCCTAGAGGAGAGTGGGATGGGTGGGGCTGTCAGAGTCAATAGTTATGTGCCTCATTTCTTCAAGATGGGACTGACAGCTAAAACTGGTGAAAGAGGGTCCTATGGCATCATGACCAGAAGCTTGGGAGGCGGTAGGTATGGGAGATGACACAGCAGGTCAACCCAAACACTCAATCCCAGTACCACTGCCTAGTGATGCTCTCTTGTCCTAGGCATCTCCTAGCACCTCCCAGAGTCTCTGGTTTTCCTCATTTATGGTGACCTTATAGGAACTTGGAAAGAGAAAAAAACAGATAAATATTAAATATTTTTAATAATTTTCTCTGAACATCATAATTGAAATAATACACAAACAATCACTTCATACACCAGTTTTCCATCACTAATAATATTCTATTACTCAGGCCGTGGAGATAGCTCAGTGTTCTAATCACCTGCCTAGGCAAGCACAAGGATCTGAGTTCAATACCTCATGCCACATTCTGTGCTGGTCCCACCCTGGGTCTGCTGAACCAGCCACTGAGACTGGGTGTGGTGGCACAGGCCTGTAATCCTATCACTGGGGAGGCTAAAAACAGGAGGATCATGTGGGTCTGAACTGTGTAGTGAGACCCTGTACCAAATACATAAAACTTAAAAAATTCCATTACTCTTTCCTGCTCTACAGTTCTATGTTTTTGTTTTCAACAAAAAATTCTCATCACAGTAGCACATATCTCCCAGGAATGTGAAATTTATGCCACTTGTGCTTTCTCATAGGTGGAAAGCAAAAATATCAATTTTGATAGAATATATT